GGGGTTATATTCCGAAAAACCCATTGTAAATTCAAAATATCTTAAGTCAAAAATGCATTTAAGGCCAGAGATTTAGCTCAGTGGTTTCGCCGCCTGCTGCACAAGCGCAAGGACCCGAGTTCAATCCCTGGTACCAAAAAAAAAAATTTAGAAAAATGCATTTAAACCCTGGCATTGTGGTGCACACCTATAACCTTAGCAGTCTGGGAAGCTGAGGCAGGAGGATCACAAATCCAAGCCCAGCCTGGGCAAATTGGTGACTTCGTGAGATCCTGTCTCAAGATTTAAAAAGTTTAAAAAGTGCAGGGGATATAGCTCAGTAAAAAACTCTGGGTTCAATACCAGTACAGCAAAAATAAAATAAAATAAAATCGAAAGCATTCACCCAATATCCCGGTTCAGCAACACAGCACAATAACTACAGAGGATTAGTTGTTTCCTCTGGAGATCTCAGGGTGATGGGAGTTGTGGCCTTCGGCTGCTACCTAGTACCAAAAAGTATTGTGTGCGCTACATACTGCTAGTCTAGAAAAAGATCAAAATTACAAGTAGAGGTTCTGCTGAATTCCTACTACTCCTAAAGTTAAAAAACAAGCAAACAAACAAACAAAAAAACTTAAGTAGCCAGGGATTTAGCTCAGTAGTTCTGCCACCTGCCCCACAAGGGCAAGGACCCGAGTTCAATCCCCGGTACCTAAAAAAAAAAAACAAAAAACTTAAGTAGAAACAGGATAAGTCAGGGATGATCTATGTTTGTACACAGTATATTGATCATCAGCTAAAGGGAGTTCTGGTATTTTTTTTTTTAATGTTGAAGTTTTTATTTAACCTAACCCACATTAAATAAAACATGAAATTGTAATATTTAACTTTTATTACTTATTCAGTGAAACATAATAAGCTATTTATTATACAGGTGAAGGACTTAAAGCCTCTTTAATTAGACACACTATATAGCCATATAAAACAGAAACACAAAACTTTCACTAATACTAAAATATTTATGTCTCATCAGTCTTGATATAACACCCACCATGTGAACTATTTTAAAATAAAAGTTTAAAGGTTTAAAAGACTGAACAAAATAAAACATTGGACAACTAAATGTAAATTATATTAAATAGCTTAGGTTACAAAGACTAGTCACCCAGAATCTAGAGATAATAGCTGTAAGCCAAAAATTAAACAGCTTACTTATGCTCTTACATCTTAAATCTTTTTTCTTTCTGTTCAAATGATTGTTCTGACACTGAAAATATCACCCATCCAATCAAACTTAAAATTCTTCAAAGGATAAATTTATCTCATATCACAAGGAGTAAAAATCTACTAAATGCACCTTTTCTGACCTTTCCAATCCATGATCACCACACACAAATAAGGAGAGACTAGATTCACACAAGTCATTAGTACGATTAGTCTTATTACCAACACGTATTAAGGGTACAAACAAATACACATACATATAACACATATATTCAAAACTAAGTTTTTCAAATGATTTTGTTTTCCTTCTACTGTATTATTTATTTTCCTTTTTATAAAGAAGTCTTTGATAATCCTATATTGGAATACACAACTAGAAGCCTAGTTATATCTAATATGGAGGTAAATATAGCTATAATGTATATTAAAGCTCTATTTCTGAAAAATGTTAAAATACAGCAGCAAGGTCCAGCACAAGTGCTGGCAAGTGGGCTGGATTTAGTATTACAGAGGACACTGGTAGCTTTGATCAGAGCAATCTCAGTAGAGAAGCCAGTGTGGGTTTAGGAGTAATACAGACATAGCCACGGTGCCTAACCCCATATGCTTTCAAAGGGTATAGTGCCACAGAGCTAAAAATTAAAAATAACTTCCTAAATTAAATTTAAAATTAATAAGTTAACATTATTAATTGATAAATCTGGTGTTCAGAAATATTTCACTTCTTCTTAAAACAATTTCTAGGCTAGATTTTTTACTTCACAAGAATTCCTGAGTGAGCATAATGATTGCCAGGAACTCAGTCAATCATAAATGAGACACTCTGCCAAAGCACTTCAAAAGCAAAAGCATAAAGACTTTTTCAATATAATTAAGTCTACTTAATCAGTGATGTTGATCCATTTTATAGGTTCAAATGATAAAAGGTAAGACTTCCAAAGTAGACTACCCTGGGACAAGGAAGGCCCCAAAATGGCCCTGCTGAATGCAAGCTTCAAGGGATGCTAAAAGCCTGGCTAAGAAGCAAAGAAAAACATAAGACAGGGTTAAAGCAAAAACAGGACAAAAAGAGAAACTGCAGGCTAAGGAGAAAGTCAACAGAGTTGCAGACTGCTGATAAGGCTGGACACGAGCTCATTTCATGGAGTAAAGTCATGAAAGCTAAAGAAGTACCAAGGGTCAAGAACAACTGGGTCCAAGGGTTCCAAACAAGAAGAAGACTGAAGAGGTACAGATTTAGACAAATTTGCAGGCTTGGATAGAAACTGAGAATTTGCTTGAGTCCTGCAATTATTTTTCAAAAGAATGTACATGACGTATTTTGCTGAAAGTGCAGGGAAGGGGATGGAAGGTGGCTTCAAGGCAAAGACTGGGGATCTATCTTTTGTAATCACCTGTGGATTTATGAGGACAGACATTACTAATTTCCACAGAGACACTCCTCTAATGACCAAGTTCCATTCCTGCAACAAGGTCATTAAATAAATTGGAATTGTATATAGTATGCCTATTACAATATTCAGAACAAAGAAATGGTCAAAGGAAACTCCAACTTGATGATTTTGCTTTTATTTGCATAACTCTTACATAAAGTACTGTAATGTATAATTGAACATAAACTACAGTATTGTACTGCATAGTACAATCAGCAAAAACTGTATAAATAAGGGGTACTGTGCGAAAAAAAGGCCACTGAGGCTCTATAAACAAGATGTGCCTGGTGTGGTGGCACACGCCTGTAATCGCAGCACTTGAGAGGCTCAGGCAAGAGGATCACCATGAGTTCAAGGCCAGCCTGAACTACACAGCCAGTAGTTCAGTAGTTCTGTCTCAAAAAACCAATAAATAAACAAACAAAGAAGATGTACAGAACTGTACAAAAAAAAAAAAGATGGGTTGTAAGTATAGAGAAACCTGAGCTCAAGTTATATAGGGTAATTGTTTATTCAAATATATTTTTCAACCCAAAGTTAAAGGTCTCTTATTCGTAACTCTAGTCTCAATTTTTCCACATGCCTACAAACACAATTCTGACACCTTTGAATGGGTAGCACATCTTAGAACCATGACCTAAGCCATCTCGCAGTCTGCAGTCTTGCTCAGAGTTCAAGAAAGACACAAAGCCTTGAATCTTAAGGGTAGAAGCAAAGTAAGACAATCAAAAATTGTGATGATTCCTGAATGTGATTTGGTACCTACAAGATTTAGAGCAGTGCAGTTCGTATCTAGTTGTAGCAAATATTCCTGAGATAATTTTTTATCTACAAAAGTAGGACATTTCCCAACTGTGTGTTCAGGGATACTTAAGTACGTAAGTAAAACAGGAGTGATAAGTAAGATTAAGATCATAATGACAATTTCAAAAAAGAAAGTATGAATAGGCCCTTGGTCTCCCCCTTTATTCAGAAACAAAGCACTAAAGTGGATTTGATTGATAGAAAGCCCAATTTAAACTGCTAAGGATACTAAAAGCAAGATCACCAAATGGTCAATACTATAGCTCAGTTTGTTAAGGCTTCTGGTGAGAAGACACCAGAAAATTTTTAAAATCCAGGAACTAGATTCTATAACCAGAAATCCCTTTTGATTCCATGAGTGATTCTATGTGTTAAAGAAGAGTCTAAGTTTCCTGCGCATCTTGCTTAGCCCATCTGAGGGAGCTGATGTTCCTGGCCATCCTTGCCTGTAGTTTATGTGATGGATGTGGTTTCCTCCTGCTGCGGGTGGGCTGTTCCTCTCTTCCTTCCAACACGAATTGCCTTCTGATGATATCATTTTGCTGTGATTTCTTTACATTTATCGCCCTTTAAATTCTTACGGGCTGAATTATCAATACATTAATGGCCTTCAAATCCACACAGATACCTCTAACCTTCAGCCACTGATATAGCTCCATAGTTCCAGTTTGGAAACATTTAGGTCAGCAACTGTCAAATTTTCTTTGAGTCTGTCATGTTGCCTTATTTTGGCTCCCAAGTTAAAAAACTCTATAATCACTCCTTACTACTTTATAGAGACTATTTCAAAACAAAAGGAACAAAACCAAATCTGGCTGCAGTATACTTTTAAATTGAGAGCTGAGAGCCTCAGTGTGATTATATTTCCTACTTTGTCTGCCTTCTTGCATTGAATCAGTAGAGAAAACCATGTTAAGGCATGTAATTTCTCTCAAGGCATTGTTCTAATATGTTCCATTAATAGTACATTTTACACAAACAAAGTTATATAGTTCTTCCATATCAAATGCTGACTCAGAAGTGCAGAGAGGAGATCTGGGTAAGTGACACATTAAGGTCAATGTAAATCCAAAATTCATAGAGTATCCTCACATAAACCAATACAGAACAAGAACAAATAAAACTATATACAAGCCCAGCTCTTCAACTCACCTATACTTCAAATTACCTATGAGAAGAAATACAAAACAATATCAATGAGCTGTCCCACATGTTCCAGCTATAAGCCTTTGTGGACATCAAGCACAGTCTAGGAAACAAGTAATGAAACAGAAAGAAAAGGAGCCAGGATCAGGTCTAACACTGATCTAAAACCATCCCCAGAAAGAAAAGTCCATCCCATGAATGGAAACACTGAAAAACCATAACGTAGACTGCAGCACAGATTTGAGGGTACATATGACACAGGAAAGTGTGCTTAGAAAGTTAATTCAAGGGAAAAGAAGATTAAAAGGCAGGAAATGTGCCTATGATTAGTAAAATAAGTATATTATCTTTCAGAAAAGTTGCAAAGATGCAAATGGTATTTCACAATAAAGTATTTTTAAACCACTGTACCTTACAGTAAAATCATAGGAGCAAGATGCCAGCACTGAAGCATGAAATGGTGAAAACTTTAAAAAAAAACAAAGTTATTATTATAACATGCTATTATTATAACATCTTACTTCCTATGGTCATTTTATGAAAAATAAAATAAATAAAAGTTTATTAAGGGATGTCACTTAAAATTCTGTTTTCCAGAACTTTATATGCTTTAATTTGAGGTAAAAATCTTTTGATCTTTTAAGTATTCATTTATAGTAAAAATATTTTTACATTCTCCAAAGAAAATCATCCTTCGAGCTTTTTAGAGTTCATTTAGAATAACTATTTTCAAAACACAGCTATTCTTGAAAAACTAAATACAAATTCTTATGGGTATCCAAACATGATTCTACAAATATAAGGGAATAAAGTATGTGATTTTATATATATATATATATATACACACAATAATTATAGAATTTATCAATATATCAATATATCATTACTATAATCACATGCATCAAAATAAACAAATTTTAAAATAACTTTTATTTTAATAAAAATTTAAAATAATTTTATTTGTATATGACAGCTAATGAAAAATGGCATCAAGGACAAAACCTGCAAATTTAAAACAAGTAACACCTTTAATATAAGTAATAAACATACTATATAGACTGCCCTTTGCAATTATATTTGTCTGGCGTTTGTCTTACCAGCACATTTTTTTTTTGTGGTTCTGCAGTTTGAACCCAGAGCCCTGAGCATGCTAGCTAAGTACTGTATCACTGAGGTACACCAGCAGCCTTACCAGCCCTTAACAGATATATATATATATTTAAGTAGTACTTTGGAGCTTGTAAAGTATTTTCACGACATCACCCTATTTCATTCTCAGAACTTAGCCAAAAGGCTGAGAAGCAATCTCAGAACTATTCTAAAACATACATAGAAAATATTTTTCAATTCCTAAAAATCTATACACATAAGACTGCCATTAAAAAAAATAAAGCAGGCTGGGTATATAACTCAGTGGTAGAATGCTTGCCTCACATATGCAAGATTGTAGATTCAGTTCCCAGCACTGCTAGTTAGCTAGCTAGCATGAAATGTTATTTAGCTAGCTAGATAACAAAACAGGATACTGTGTTTCCTATGTTGTCTAGCAGTTAATAAAATTTAAAATATTAATTTAATGGAAATTAGGAATTTTAAAAATAGGAATAGCATAATTATCTTGCTGAGAGATCAATAAGGTATGTTTTGGCCTTTAAAGTAAAAAAAGAAAATTAAAATTGGGAGATGTGATTTAATAAAATGTTTTGCATAACAACTTAGCAGAACATGCCTAAATAAAAGCTAGGAAACTAACTTAAGCCACTTTGTAAGCCAGACAAATTTCTTGAGAGTAGCACAAAAAAGTTACCTATGCTCTGTTATATATAAAGTAGATAATTTTCTAGACCTGACACATTTGGGAACATTCATGTAAGTCATCGTGTAAGAGAAAAGAAATAATTAATTATCTCTCTATACCAGTTTCAACAAAGTAAAGAAACTTTCCATTGATGGAAAATTATAAAGAATATGATACTAAAAGTAAATTACTCTACTTAAAAAATGTTAAAAGGAATGGTAGACTGAAGATGACTGAAGATTAACCTAAATTATTGAATGTCTACATTGTCCCAACTCATTCAATAATTATTCAAATATTTTATCTAATTTTAGTATTCAATATTTATTATTACTAATCAGGTAACAAAAATACATATAAAAAAATAATCAAGTAACCCTAACCCCTAAACACCAAAATACCCTTTTATATATGCTTCATCAATTATATTTAAATTTTAATTTTTATGCTATGAATAAAAAGAAAAGACAAAAACTTACTTTCACTCTCCTAATAGCATAGGTGTGACCAAGAAGTTCAAACACTGGCTGTCGTACATTCCTTAAGTCCCATCCTCTCAAACTACAATCAACTGCTCCTGTCACCAGCAAATTCTGAAAACAATTCAGAGGAACATTAAGCAATTAAGCAAAACTAAGCCTTTCCGACTAGAAATAAAATCTATTTTCTGGTAATTATTTGAGAAGTCATTCTTGAGAAGTTGTATAATAAGTATAAAAAGGAATCAAACTACACACTGAACAGCCAAAAAAATAACTTGAGGGAATGAAACTCAATATGCTTTATGTATATGATGGAAGACCACACAAAAGAAAAAAGACATAGTCCCAAATAGCACTGTGGTTTTTTCAGTAGGAATATGTACACATAGATTAAACTATATGACAAATGGATCACCTTTCTCTTTAAAAGATCTTCAACATGATGTTACCAGGCATCCAAAAGCAAGAGGCCTGGTAATGTGAGACTATTTGGAAAAGCAAAGGATATAAACTAGAATTTTATATTTTTCTACATCATTGTTCCCAATTCTCTTGGACCTACTCTTAATACAATATCTGATCAGACCCAAGAATCTACAGAAATAATGGCGAGTTTCTATCTAATAGTCAGGTTTTACAAATTCCGCTATCTAGAGCCTGAGGCGGACTCACAGTTCCTGGCTAAAGAGGCCAAGTGTTGGGTTCATGCTCACATCAACCTGAGCAGTAATTCATCATCTGAATATGTTTGGCTTTAATATAAGCTTATTTGAGGAAAATTTTCAGTGATTTAAAAACAAAACTTTTGACCACAATCAAGTACATAACAGGATCTTTTTTTGGATTCAAAGTACAAACATATAGGCCAAAATTTAATTTCCCTATAGGGAAAATTCATTTGTGATGGAAGAGATTGAAAGTCATTTTATTTTTATTTAAATTAAGTGTTATTTCTGTATGTACTATATTTTATTTCATTTTATTAAAAGGATTCTGCCAATATAATATTATCTTAACTTTCATTAATTACTCTAGGGGAAAAAATAATGTACACATTCTACCTATTTTCACTTTCAAGAAACCACTTGAAGTACATAAATGTTTAATATATATTTAATTCATTCCTATCTCTAATTCATATGTTTATATGGTTAACTGAAGCTTTGCAAGAAGTTACACATAGACACTGCTATCTTACAGAAGCATGAATATTAGGCTTAAAAAGGAAGACGAAACAAAATTTTTAAATCTGACAGACTGTCAAATTAAAAATCAAATTACAAAGAATTCAGCAGCCGGACTAGAAAAGTGAAAAAGAAATTAAAGCAAAAGATGACACTAAGTGGCAAGGTCAAGAATGATCAAGAAAAGATAATACATAAATTGTAAAATAATTCCCCAAAATAAACAAGTAAGGCTGCACTGCTGAACTTTTGAGAATTTCTGTTTCCTATTTTGCCTGTTTTATGAGCACTTAAATCCAATTAATGCTAATGTAGGTCAGTCACAATCATTAGTTAGAAATGAAAGAGACTCAATTTAACTTAATGGGCCAGGAACATCACCAAAGACCACATAAACAAAGATAAATAAAATCTTGAATGTTTCAACATTACACAGCTGCACAAAATGGGTCCACACATTGTACCTCATTGTATTTACACCAGTCACAACTCAAAACTTCTGCCTGATGTGCTGGAATCACAATTCTGACTCCGGTTGCCTTCATATCCCAAATTCTCAGAGTCTGATCACCTGGTAAAAAAGGAAGGAAAGATATGATCACTTCCTATGACACCACTTGGATGCTCAATGACATAATGAGCTCATAAAAATAAACCAAGTAGAAATACTTTTGCTTTTAGGATGTTGTCATCTTTTCGTGTGTGTGTGTGTGTGTGTGTGTGTGTGTGTGTGTGTGTATGTACAGAGAGAGAGAGACTGCAAAAAAAATGTATACACACTTCAGCAGTTCACTGTACTAATGAAGGTCTAGAAGCTCATGGCCTCCACTTTGAGCACCTCTTGTAATTGTAGAGGCCAAAGCTAACTTGTATTAATCTTGTGATGCCTCAATAAATTTAGTATTAAAATATTTACACAAGTTTTCCCTTTCCTGATGTATATATTATTTTGGTGGACACGTACACACACATATCTTTCTTAAGCCGTAATAATTTTTTGGTTTTGGTTTTTTTTGGTACTGTGGATTGAATGCGGGACCTTGCGCTTGCAAGGCAGGTGGTGGAACCAGTGAGCTAGATCCCCAGCCCAAGCCATAATAATTTTTAAGAACTACTAAAAGTGAAGGACTGCCAGGAGCAGTGGTGGCACACACCTATAATCCTATAAGCTCCTCAGAGGCTGAAGCAGCACGTTTAGAGGTCCTATCTCCTATTCCTATCTCCCTAAATAATAACATGAATAACAGCTAATATTTATTGAGTCCTTCCTTTGAGCCAAGTATTGTCCTAAGCATTTTATATATACTGATTTTTTTCTACAACATTACAATAATTACATGAATCGGTACTACTTGCTATAATACTTTACAAGTGAGGAAACTGAGGCATATGGGAATGAAATAACTCATCCAAGACACTAAGCAATGGAACCAGGACCCAGAACCAGAACCTAGGAACTTTGGGTTCCCAGCACATGCACTTTACAACTATATGAGGCTATCTCCTATATTTGGGTGTCAGGGCCCAAATGCCAGTGAGTTCTCGCTGACTCTTGAGAAATTACTCCTTTTTTTCTATGTTACTTTTTCTATAATGAGAGAGAAAATATTTTTTCTCTCTCTCTCTCACCTACACACACAGAGAATATCTGGTCAGATTTTGCCAGGGTTATTTTAGAAATAAAAACTCACTAAATACTACAGACAAAGTTAATATCTCTATTGTATTTCCAATCCCATTTCTCCCCCAATCCCCTGCTTAGAGGTCATCACAATCATGGACTTGGTATACATTGCTTTAGTCTGTGTTTTTGTAATACAGTACTTTTGCCGCATTTCTATGGATCATAAATATGTACTATCGCTTTGTGAGGGTTTTTTTCCTTTTTAATTTAAAAACACCATCCTGGTACTTTATAAAAGGCTGAAAAACACTTTGATAGATGAAAGTAACTAGCATTTTTGGATCTAAGGACCATAAGGATGAAAGGTATGATGAGTCTGAATGTACCAAATGGAAATAGCTCTGAATTGGTAGAGACTGGAGCTTCAAATATCTTCAGGGGCCCTAAAAATATTCACTGTCTCTGGTTAGCCACCAGTCAGCAGAATTTGTTTCAGAATTCCAAACAGCTTTGATGAAATGATCTTTCATAATTTTCCCTAGACTTCGGTGTCTATAGCTAGGTGATATGGATGTCTTGTGGCTGGTCTGCCCAGCAATACCCTTCCTCTAGGAACAGCACATGTCCTACTTTCAAGAGATTCAAAAAAGACCCATGGCTCATCACAGGCTCAGACCACAGCCAACAGGTCCAAAGGTGGGTATTTGGGATTTTTGAGAACTATAGTTGAAAAAAATCTCAATCCCTCTCTTACAGAATTTACTAATTCTAACATTCAGGAGCCTCTGGTGGCCATGTGTCCACTGTGTGGAGAAAGCCAGCCTGCAGAGTCAAGTTACCAACCAGGCACAAGTCCAGATGAGAGACACAGAATGTGGCTTGGGGAAGTTCAAGCGTCCCTTCTCTTTCTGGAGCATGCTTTTCATGTCTCAACAACCAAGTTCCATCACTTACAGGCAAAGGAGATACTTACCCTTATGGAGGGAATGAATGGTATTCTTCCCAATTTGCTATCTCTAAAAAGGACAAGCCATAGGGAAAAACATGTGATTCCACACAAGACTTCCACTAAAGCATATGAAATGTCAAAGTGATGCTGTCGGCTAAAAACTGATATCTAATACTAGGTCTAAAACTGTGAAGTCTGCTATAGTTATGATTAAAGAGTACTGTCTGAAGGCCAATGGACTTGAGTCCACCTCATAATTACATTATCTGAGTATGTAAATTGATATAGAGCACCAACATGTTACAGTGAGTGTGGATTAGGTGATTAAGTTATTTTAGCACTGATATGGATGAATCACAAAGTATAGTGTTGATCAACAGAAAGCAGACACAAAGTATAAAATAGGCAATGATAATCTATGCTACTAGAAAGGAGACATGGTCATGCCAATGGGCAGGGTAATAACTTGAAGAACAGGAAGAGGTCCTCTGGTACAATTTTGTTTCTTGGCCCTACTCTGGTTACACAGATGTTCTTATTGTGAAAATTCATCAAGTTGCACAGTTAAGGACACACATCATTCTGTATGTGTATAAAAGATTAAGCAACACAGCAACAGAGGTTGGGTGGGTGGTTATTCTATTGCTCTGACATAATATTTTGGTTCTGCAATATCATATTCAAGCAACAGATTTTTAAAAGCCGTATCTTAGGTTGTTCCCTCCTGTGATTAATCTGAGTGACACAAAAATGTGAAGACTATTTTGCAAGAACCAAGAATTCTAGTTCTTTGATAGCCACTCCTACTGTATATATTTGGTACTTTGCCTTCATCATTCTGGTTTCCAGGTAGGAGAAAAACCTTTCAGCCAAATGGTATAATGATTCATTCAACTCTCTCAGGCATTAGGACATCTGTAGTCATGTTTTGTTTTGTTTTTTTCTTTAAATCACATCTTCTAAGTAACTGGCCTTTCATTGTCAGCCAGACATTTATCAGGGCCCTCTGATGGTACCACAGGCCCACCTGAATTACCAGCTTCTCTTATCAGCTGCAGACCTGCAACTGGCAGAACCAGCAGAATAGGAAGTTCTGGCTGCTGTTATATCTGATTTCAAACTGCAGCAAGAGGAAGTTGGGTAAGAACAATGAGTATAAACAGCCTAAAACTGTGAAGTGAACTGCGTGCCAAAAGGATACTTCTGGGCCTAAATGATTTAATTGAAATGCCAGATGCCTATCAGATGTAATATGACTTTTTCTTATACGATAGTAGAGTAAGGTTTGCTTTAACTACTGGCTAGACCCCACGCAGTCAGGCATGCCTATGACTTACACAATTATATGGAGTCTGTAATAACAGTAATTTAGTTTTCATGGTTCAAAAATAGATTACTTCATATTAATATTTATATAAAATGCTTGAATATTATTCCTTTCTATCTTATATAATTTAGAAATACGAATTTTATACTAGTACATCTACTATAAACTAAACAAAACATAATGTCCTTCAAGAACCCTGCTAGAGAAGGTATAGATCTATAATTCCACCCTTTTTGGTCTTAACTTAGCTAATAATAACAAAATTGGTTCTAGATTTGCAAATACAGTACTATATAAACTTGAAGGTGAGTAAATCCTTGGAGTAGCCTAAATGCTATATTGTCATATACACATGATCTTAAAATATAAGTTGTTAAAAAAAGTTTTATAATTATATGTGTGTCACAGGGTTAGATATAAAAATACAACTTGATTTTCTCCATAAAAGCTACCATCAAAAACAAGTATTTTACAACCTTGGGTTTTATAACCACAAGCTTTGCAGTTGAAATTATTTTTATATAAAGATCATGGTATGTTTTATAGCAAGTCCTTGTCTGTAAGTAGCAAGACAATTATTGTTAAAGACCAATACAAGTCACAAAATAGAAAAAAACTGAAGAGTCCTCCAACTAAGAAACCACTTCCTCTCTGAATTCAGCACTGAAACCACTCTGTGGGTTTTATAAAAGGAGATGAATATATTCCTAGGAAAACAAACATGGAAGTCTCATTACATCAACTGAAATAAGCTATTAATTTGGCATCTCAAACAAAGCTACTCCACAGACCAGTGCAGTACATCGCAAATCAGGCTGATCACCTGACTCAGCTGGACTTTAAAAACATACTTCTCCAGAGGCACTTTGATTCAGCAGGACTAAGACAGAGCCCAGAATCCTGTTGCTGTTTAAGTTTCACCAATGACTCTAATGACTAGGAGGTTTGAGAATCACTGGAGCCATATGTTATTGCATATCGTACATTCCAGATTCTGTCTAAAGCAAACTACTTTAAACTTTATTCTCAAACTCTTGGTTCTCAGATCAGCACTATTCATTCTTGCAGCACTTATGCAATGCAAAGGCCATTCTGTCACTCCTCAGATATGCTCCATTCTCTCCACATTCCATACCTTTGCCTCCTACCTCTCATCTCCTAACTCTTACTTGTTCAGAAATTGGCAGCTTATATACTATTTCCTCAGGGAAGTGTCCTTGATCAGCCAACTTTGACAAGCTCAGGAATCATCCATGTGTTTCCACAGAATTCTGAGCACTCATGTTATAAAAAGAGGTGACATTTCCTCAGTCCTTACTGTGTCACATAGTGTTCTAAGGGTACATTAACTCAATCATACTCAAAACTCCATGATGTGGATATTACTGTCACCCTTATTCCAGAAATAATGGAGGGACAGAGGTTAAATAGCATGACCAAGGCTATACAGCAGTGGAGAAAGCAAAACTTTCTTTGAGGTAGCCCAGCTCCAGAGTCTATATTCGTAACTACTATAGTAGTACCTCTCCTTCAGAGAACTTTACACCCCTTATCATCATGTGCTTCTGGTGTTTTCTTAGTATGTCTCTTTATCACTGGATTATAGGCTATAGGAGGGCAGGAACTGTTTTCTTCCTCACTGAATAACTAGTCCCCAGCAAATGATGGGCATTCAATAAACACCTGACAAACAAGCTGACCATGTCCCTCTCAATAAACAAAATGAACTTACATATGTTTTCAAAATTCTAATAAGATAGTTACTCTCCTATCTTATGTAATAACAATAAAAATATTTTAATGTTTGGCTGTAAAATGCACTGAGCTATATAAAAGAATATATGAAAACAAGGCAAGCAAAGAAAATCTGCTAAATAGTTTGTTTCCTACTAAGGGATGTATTGTTCTCGTCTCCTTGGAAATAGCTAGAGTACAATAAAAGTTTCAGAGCTTACTTTTTACTTTACCACAACTCTTTCATTATTTTTGCAGATTGGAAGAGAAATTTTAAAATTATTTTCAAATTTGTGAAGTCGGCTAATATTTAAAAATCATCATGAATGAATATTTTTTAAAAGTGGCAAATTTTTGATAAATCAATTTGCTAATAAATTTTCAAAAACTCTCAACAGCTTTATTGTATCCAATTTCACAAGGAAAGTTTTTTTTAAAGCTTTCTTGTTTTGTTTAAGGAACATATTTCATAGCTAATAGTTCCAGTGCTTTATCTGATTCATCTCATCTGATTTACTTTAAACCTTAAATGTACAGCCAACTTAATCAGTACTGCCTTTCTAGAATCTATTCACTTACTTCTGCCTAAAAAGGATTCATTCTTTCCATCCTGAGCTCATGCGGTTCGGATATAGCCCTTTCTCATACTCCATTCCCAACTGCACTGGCTAAACTAGGCCTGACTCAGTCAAAACATTAGATCCTTCTTCCCTTGGAACCATAATTAGTTCAGGATCATCCACAGGGATTAAGCAAAACCAATGAGAGAAAATAAAGCTTTTGTGGAAGTTGGAGAGGGACTCTCTTAAGTTTTCCTATCGGACAGAAACTAGAAAGTAAGTAGGGGTTGCAGCTCCTGCCATCTTGCCATTACATGTTACCTGATACTGAAAGCAACATGACAGAAGGCAGAGCCCCACACCCGGCCATGCCTCTAAAGCCAGATCTAATTCTAGACTTTTCCACTATATCAGCAAATAAATTACATTCTTTAATGCAGTATAGTTCAGATTGTTCTTTACTTTTAATCAAAGCTGATATAACCACTATTTATATTTGTATATAATACAAGAAAATAATGTAATTAAACATATGGTCTCTTCTGTGAAAGCAAATGGTCATTTTGTTGATAAAATAATTTTTATTCACTATCCATGCACACTATACAGTTTAAAGAGTCGAGTGTTGTAATTACACTGCTAACTCTATAGTTAAATCTTTTTTATCCAGTCTTATACACTGAATATTCTACCTGCATTATCCAGAGTCAATATTATATATACAATGCCACACAAAGGCCAGTGTAAAAAGAAGAGGCACATATGACTCAGCCCAAATAAATGGCTAATACACATACTTCTGCCTGTTGTTTAAGTAACGCAGCTGTGTTAGTTCATGATTCTGTCACTAGATTTTATATTTGGTCACAGGCATAAAAAGAACAACAATTAAAACAAACGAAGATGCAGGTAGGAGTGTAGCTCAGTGGTGGAGTGTGTGCTTAGTGGCCAAAAGTCCTGGATAACCCCCAACAGCCTCCCAAAAGAGAAAATTAAATTATTTGAATTATAATAAAAACAAACTTACACGCAACAGAAAAGTGAAAGAATTTTTCAAAATCTATCAGTTAGTTCAAGGCATTTTCCTTACCAATATTTTTCCAAAAATGTAAAATTATACTTATTATTAAATGTAATCCACTGTGAGCACTGCGCTTTAGAGCACCCAGCAGACAGGTTTCACTGCTTAACTAGAAGAGAAGTATGTCTCTGCTCATTTGGAAGGTGGATCCCTTCTATAGCACTAATTTCATCCAGGGTTTCAAGTGACCCCTTTGAAACCACAGTACAGGATATAAGGCCAAAGGGCATCACTCCCTCTAAGAAAGTTTTCTTTACATCCTTACAAGAATTTTAATTCAATTGCAGCCAACACTCTCTTTGTTAAGACTTTTCTACAATGGTAAAAATATAAAGAGGTAAAATTTTTACTATCAAATGAAACTGTGATCAAAATGCAGTTCTGATTCACTACAACCACGAAGCTCCTAATTTAATTTTCATTAAATTAAAAGTAGAAAAGTTGATTAACTCAAGTTATTTACACAAGAAAAGGGTTCATAACTTCAAATTAAGTGTATTAATATTGCCATCATTTACTTAGTAGACACCCAGCCTTGTAATTAGCTGGGGCACAGAAAGATAAAAGATCAAAGTAGAAATTCGTCCTTAGAAAAGGAAATGTGACTAGAAAAAATTTTAACTGGTCTCATCCCAAAAGATCTGATATTTTGGAAAAGATTTAATTCAGATTACAAACAAAAAAAAAGCTAAGACTTAAGACAACTTACAAATTTAAAAAAATAGTAGTATTAGTTTTCATTCTAGAAAATAAAGCTGTTAATTTTTATTACAGAACAAAATGTTTCTTAAATTGGCTATTCCTCCATACAAAGATATCATCATTATTCACTATAAAGATCTCATAAAATTACATAATCTAAATGGATATATTTGTATACAATTTGAGTATCTTCAACCAACCAAGTAAGACTTCCGAAATTCAGGTAAATTTGGTTATTTTTAATTTTTAGAATTAAAACTAAGAAAATAAATTACTGAAAAGGATTTCTGTGACAGTACATTTCCTGTGGAAGCCACTCAACATAATTCAACAATTCACAGTATTGACACAGTTTATTAGCAAGAAAAGAACATTTATCTTACCTAGCCATTACCTGTCTTTGAATGCTGGATAATTAAATGAGAAGACAATACTAGAAACACACTACCTCCTCCTCTAGCTATGGTCTTTTCTGTTTCTTTAAATAACTAACTGTGCAAAAGAGCTTCCAATACTTTATCTCCCCCCTATGGTTCTCTACCAGGGGTCAGCAAGCATTTTCTATAAGGGACTAGTCAGTAAATATTTTTGACTTTGAGGACCATTAGTTCTCTGTAATAACTACTGAATTTGCCACTACTGTGAGAAAGCAGCCATAGACAATATGTAAGTAAATGGACGCAGTTATGTTCCAGTAAAACTATTCATAGAAACTGTCAGTCATTTTAATCTAAGGGCATTAGTTCACCCACTTGTGCTGTATTCTAAAGTTTCCTCTATTTAGTTTGTCCTGGGTGCTCTGATTTCCTGTGATGGCTTTAGCTACCAACTATAAGCCAATGACACAATATTTATTCACAAGGCCATACCTCTCCGCTCCAAACTCAACCTGCTCAGTGATAAACCCACATCTGTGTCTCACTGATTCAAGAGTTTTCTAAACAAAAAGATCTTCTCTTTCAAATATATTCCTTTTCTCAGGTATGATAGTACCATCCACAGATTTGTCCTTACCAAGAAATTAGGAGTTATTCTTCAGGAGTCAGAATCGTTGGAAAAAAAAAGCAATCTGGGCTTCGGCTAATTCTTGTCAAGAATTGGGTAAAGGAAGGTCTTAGGACACAAAAGCAGAGTAACACACTCCTACTTTCTCTGAATCTAGGGTACACAGTGCCACCTAATGGAAAAAACAAAGCCACTCTTCAGTATTTTTGGTAAATTCAGAATTATTTACCTGAGGCTGAAGCAAAACAACCAGGCATATGGGGAGACCAGATTGTGCTATAAATGACACTCTCGTGGCCTCTAAAGGTGCACAGTGACTTTCCAACAGTTGGATCCCACTACAAATAAATGAACAGATCGATTACCAGAGGTAAATTCAAGTATGTGCTTTCATATATTTATATATATATACTCTGTATATTTACATATACACATACCTAAAGTAATTTTTAGGATCTATTTTTAAATAAAGCAAGGTAGTATTTAAGGGGCTAGAATATTCAATGCTAAGCTAATTTTTAGTTCATAGCCAAAAAACTAGATAATGTTAAATTCTAATTAATGTTTTAATATATTATTTGCAGAAATTAACTTTGGTTTTAAAGCTACAGAAGGGTATAAGAAAAGAAAAAACTCAGCTGAAGCTCTGGAGAGAAGAATATTTGTTTTCAAATTACAGTAATGCTGACATACCACTTTGACAGTCTGATCCCATGAGCCAGACACCACAAGCTGTTCACCTCTGGTTTGGCTCCAATCAACACTATACACCTAAAAATATTTTAAAGGGTTTAGAAAGCAAAATAGCATCAAGTTCAATATTACACTTCATGTCTTTATAATAGTGATAGCCAGCTAGAACAACTGATTTACCTCATGGAAACATCAAATAAAGTCCTACCCTGCTCAACATTATGTCTGAGAAGTGGAAAGTCCATTCTGCCATGCCGATTCCTTGTCAATAAGACTCCATTTGACTTAAGGTAATTCCACAGAATATTTTCAAACCTTCACTAAAACAAATTATACCTGTTTTTAAACCTATCAACAAATCACTATTTGCAGCACTGTGAAGAAATGTCAAAGCAGAAAGTCAGTATCCAAAAATCTTTGCCTTGTTAATGTTTATCAGAAAGCATTAAAATTTAATGAGTATCTCTATCTGGCCTTTCTTAGCAAAACCTTATAGGAACCAGGTGATCCTTTCAGATCTCTTAATAAACAACTTTAGTTATCTGATGCAGCTATTCCAATTTATACTTCACTGCTCTCAATGAGCCATTTCAAATAAGCTATTTGAAAACTTATGGAAATACTTTTCATTCTGTCATTTTACAACAGATTACACACAGACCATTACTATAAGCTACAAGATGTGATTGAAACATAAGATGATTATTTAAATTTTGTTTTCTAAATTTATTGCAGTACAAGACTCATTGCCACTAATTCCTCTCAAAGTACTCCCCTCACTTTGAATACTTTTATCATTGTCCTTGCCAAGTTCTGAAGCAGTTCTAGAAGTCCTCTATCATGTCTTTAGTCATACTTTCAAAACTGCCATGATGTCCTGAATCAATTCAAAACATTTACCTTTCATGGTCATTTTGGCTTTGGGGAAGAGTCAGAAGTCCTATGATATTAGACCCATCCAGTGAATAAAGTGAATGAGGACACACTGTCATGTTTTTGTGAGTCTGCCTTTCCACTGAACGGCACAAGGCAGCTGCATTCACCATATTTTTTACCACACCTCATAAAGTCACTCATGAAAGCAGACTTCCACAGCTGTTTCAGAAAGTGGCAAGAACCATGGGATAAGTCTGTTGAAAGCAGGAGAAAGATTCTTAGGATTAATGGCAATGGGTCTTTTACTGTAACTTTTTTAATTTAAACTTTCACTGCATACATATGTACTGTATATTTTGTCACCCCATATGTACATAAGTATACTTAATGAAAACGGTCCTGACATAGACCTGAGTAGATGTTATCAAATGTGGTCAGCCAGCAGGTTATTTTGAATCATGCCTATAATCCCAGCACTTTGGGAGGCAAAGGCAGGAAGATCACAAGTTCAAGCCCTGCCTCAGTATCTTAGCAAGACCCTGTCTCAAAACTAAAAATTTAAAAATAGCTGAGGATACAGCTCAGTACAAAGGCCCTGGATTCAATACCCAGTACTGGAAACAAAAACAAAAACAAAAAACTCTAGCCCCACATATATGCCAGAGTATGAATACGCAGGGTTTATTGTGGCTTAAATAAGGGTTTCTTGCTCTCTGCTACCGAGTGCTGTGCTGAGCCATGTTAGAGTCCAAGGAGAGAAAAAAATGAGTAATTTTGATCCTGTATATATTTAAAATTTTGGTGTTTTGGCACTTGAGTGCTGAATCTAAAAAAGTCATAGGCTAACAACAGAATGGTGGTTGTCAGGAGTTTAGGGCAGAAGGAGAGGGAGATGCTGGTCAAGGGGACAAATTTTCAGTTATAAGTTTTAGGGTGCAGAATGTTAACTATAGTTAAATATTATGCATGGAATACTTGAAGTTTGCTAAGAGAGTAGACCTTAAATGTTCTCATCCCACACACACATACACAAATGGGAACTATGTCACGTAATGAGTAAGTTAATTAGTTTAATTGTGGGAAGCACTACTCAAGGTATACTTTATCAAGAAACTACACTGTGTACCTTAAATATATAAATGTTTAACTTGTCAATTATAGTTCAATAAAGCTGGAAATTTTTTTTTCAAGGAGAAGGGGTTTATTTGGCTTACAGTTCATAGAGTTTTAAGTCCATAATCAGCCAACTCCAAGGCAGGGATGCAAAACAGGGATGGCAAAGCAGAAACAACATGGTACATACAAGGCAGCAAAGGTAACAAAAGGGAATTACTGGTGTCTCTCTGCCCCTTTTATCTTATTCAGACTACTTAGGGTGGGTAGCACTCACACCCTTAATCCTAGTGCCCTTGAGCCTAGCATTGCATCATGAATCAATTCCAAGCTGGAAATTTTTAAAAATAAAATTATTAAAGTTTCCATGAAAAAAAAGAAGAAACATAGAGGAAATTTTGTATTTTGTTCATTGGGAATCTTTTTCACTATTATTTTTAAAATACTGCATTACAAATTTATCTCAACTACAAAATTGAGGAGAGGGGCTTAAACTTTTGTAGCCAAGTGAATGCCACACATGCCCAAACCCCTACCCTCCACCCCTGTCCTGGTCCCCCTGCTGCCCTCTTCATGTGAGACAGAAGAGCAGCTAGAACCTTTAAGGAATCACAATCTAGCAGCAGAGAGCACCTCATGAAGTAAACAGAAGGGGGAAAAAACCTGCTGGACAATCTATTAGTTAAGGATGGGAAAAACAAAGATTAGGAAGCAATCACTGAAGATCTTCAGAGCTAAAGGAATTTAATTTTATCCTCTTAGCCTCTAAACTTCTTTCATAAAGGCCTTATGATAAATGGTAAATTTCTTCTATAAAGGGTCACACAGTAGATATTTTAGACTTTCTAGGCCATCAAGCATTGTCACAACTATTAAACCTAGCACTTGTAGCACATAAAAGCTACCTTTGTCAATGACACAGCTTTGTTTCAATAAAACTTTATTCACAAATCAAACTCTGAGCCAGGTTTGACCCTGGTCCACAGAATGGAGTTTACCAACTCCTGCCCTGGACTAACAGAACAGTCAAAAGTAACAATAATACACTTTAATAACAACAAAATTTTTTTTAATACTCAAGAGGCTGAGGCAGGAAAATCGTGGTTGAGGCCAGTGAGAACTTAGTGAGAACTGTCTCAAAATAAAAATAAATAAATAAAAGGCCCTGGGGATGTAGTTTAGTGCTCTCTGGGTTTAATGTCCAGTACTGAAAACAAAACCAAACAAAATCTTTCTTGAACATTGCGTGCCAGATATTCTCATCTAAACTTAATATATTTTATCTCCTTTAATATTCATTTCTATGAAGTAGATACTTGCATGCCAAGGCCCAGGTAGGTTAAGTACAAGTTTCCAAGGCTAATTAGGTACAGAGCTGAAATCTAAACCTTCGCAGCCTACTTGCAGAGCCTACCTTTAATTGCTATGCCAGACTGTTGACAGCAAGCTGCTTGATGGCACTGCTAAGTCAGAACTTCCCGGTTTCCTTGGGCTCTAATATCAGAGACATAAAGCCCTGCCCTTGCTGGTATCACCCTTCACTGGAGCTACATCGGGCCTAGACTAATTCCACTTCCATGAATTACCCATATCCAAGAACATAAAGTCTCTGTCCACTCCTGAATCCCCACTTATCCTTCAAGAATGTCCCCAATACAGCCTTTGTGAACTAAGCCTCCCCTGGCGAGCACCTCAGTCAGTCAAATGGTCCCTTCTGTGCTTCCGTCTCAGTTTGCACCTACTTTTAATCCAGCATTTACACATTTTACTAAAAGTAATGTATAATAACTACCATCTAATACTAGATTTTGGAGACCCTCTCATGAGCAGAACCATTGAGTTTTGAGTATGTCTAGGCTCATCACAATGAAAACAGGCACTCAAAAAGTGTTAGTCAAAATATTGTAACCAATCAAATTTACCTTCACAACCTGCATCATTGCCAAGTACTACTAACTAAAGACTAACACGTTCAGCTCAGATTCCACTGCCGCCACATACTTCCATTGTGATGCTAGCATTGAAACCTTGACTGCTCATCTCAACACTGTCATCAGCTCACAGAGAACCCAGCCATAAGACAACTTGGCTGAGGGCAGTCTTGTTGCCGGCTGTCCTGTCTGTCACACAACAAAGTAGCAAGCATTAAGTCTCTACAATAAAGCTGAGGATAGGACAGACACGATGGTGAGGTTAAAAAATGGGCTAATAAAGAAGAAAATAAGAAAAAAATAATAATAAATAAATAAAGAAGAAAATAAGAGACAACTCAATCAATAAATGTTTTGTTTTATTATATTTAAAATATTAGGATATTTTAATAAGAGAACAACTGTAGACATAAGTGCATGGGGGTGCTGCAATGGAAAGTTCAGCTTGATACGCAGAAGAGATTATTCAAGCAGTGCCTTGGGAACTGGCTAAAAGATCAGCAGGCAGAAACTAGAGGTCAAACAGTAACCAGAGGTGCCCCAAAAGACACAAATGGGGGCAGACAGCACCCTAGCGATTAGGGCTAGAAGAACACTGTGAGATAATACTAAGTGATGATAACATTAGCAAAAATGGAAGGATGGAGGAAGGAAGATAATGTGTAATTAATATATACTGAGTCTGAAGTGGCAGCAAGACAGCCAAGTGGAAATATCTAATATGATCAGCATTTGAGCATTAACCTCAAGCTCTGATAAAAGTGCAAGCCTTAGAGATGTTTGGGAAGACAACTGAAAAGAGAAGATGGGATTCCACTATTCCAACCTCAAGCCAAGTTATTCACTTACTCAACAAACATTTAGTAAGCATCTACTGTGCACAAGACAAGGAGGGGACGCTTACAACGTTAGGCAAGACTTGCCCTCGTGGATCTTATATTTTAGCGGAAGAAGACACCTACAAGTAAATGTGTGATTTCAAGTTATGATCTTCAAAACTACAAATATAAAGCCGAGTAAGGAGGCAAGAGCAAGGGATGATTTCTCAATACAATGATCAGAGAAGACCTCTCTTAGTAGAGATTTGAGTGTGATAAAAGACTAGAGTGCTGATCCGAAAGGAATGGCATCAGACAGAGTGAACAGGAAAGACTGAAA